AAAGATCAAGTCAAATTACAAATAAGCTAAGAAGCAACATTTAAATAAATAAAATTCATGCAGGACTTGAACACATAGTACTCTCATAACAGAAGTTACAATTTCAACAAGTTAAAAAAATAAAATTCATACGTATGACCTGAACACTAGTACACTCAAAAGTTACAATTTTAAGTTAAAATTAAAAATTGAGCAGGAATAACACTTAGCAGTAAAAGGTACGTAAAGACAATAGTGAATTCTGAAAGAAAATATAAATTAATACACCACACAGCCACAATTTTATAGAAATATAAAAAGTAAAATTTACCATATATATGATAACAAAGATAAATACACTCTTTTTACCCAAGTCAACAAAATACATTTGAGAATATCACACTTCACACTTTAGTAGTGTGAAACTCATAAAAGCAGTTTCTGTGTTGTAAAACACACAACATAACATTGCATTCAGAACATTTTGCAAATGTGAAGCCATCTCGGCCAAGAACTCTGCACATGCTGCAGCGCCCCTTTTTTCTCTCAAAGACAATTAAATGGTTCTTGCCATTTAATCTGTGCGTATCAGAGGGTAATCTTTTCATCTTGCTCTTTTCCATGTGGACTTGGACTTCCTCTGTCCTGGATGATTCTTCAGCTGTAGTCCTACCTACTTTTTTGGGGGGGCTCACCAGTGCCTGAACAATTTGCAATCTAAATAGCTTTGATGGAAGCTCTTGACTGTCAGAGTCCTCATCATCACAATCTTCTTCTCCTTCTTCTTCTCTTAAATCAGCTCGATGAAGGAGAAAGGCATTTACCAGAGACAGGTCAATAAGGAATGACATCATAGTAAATGGCCATCGTTTAGCCCGACCTGGCAGTTTATATAGATGCATCAGCATGTCAAATAGATCCACCCCTCCCATGTACTTGTTGTAGTTACGCACAAGTTTGGGACAGGGAACAGTTATCTTTTTCTTCGCATTCTTGTCCCACCTCAAAACTTCTACTTGTGGATCTCGACCAGCCCAGGACCCAGCAATTTTTACCACTTTATTGTCAACCCATTTCACAACAGCAACTTGACCATCCATAGTACTCTGAACAACAGATGTTCCTCTACCTTGCTTCGTGAGATCTTTGTCATTGGGCAGAGGGCATCCTTTTGTTCGATTCAGCCGTATTGTACCAATTGACACCAAACCAAGTCGATCCTTAAGCCCACATATCAAAGGAATACTAGTAAAATAGTTATCAAAACAAACACCACTTATTCTTGGTTTCTGAATTTTTTTACACAGATGATAAACAACATTTCCACCAACACCGAGATCCTCATGCACTTCAACACCTTCCAGCTCAAATGTTTTACTACCGCAGTACACAAGAAAATCATACACAATACCAGAACTGCTTGTGAGCATAAAAGCTTTGAATCCCCACTTGTGGGGTTTACCCTTGATGTACTGCCGAAGCGGTCCTGCCTTTGTTCCTTTGTAGGGGCTCATCGACTCATCAATGCTGAAGCATGTTGTGTTTTGTGGCAGCGCATTGCACTTTGCTCTCACATGATTAAGTAGTGGCCGTACTTTCAGTAGAGGGTCCACATTATCTTGAGGTATAGCGGAGTTGTCAACAAGATGGAGACGAGCTCGAAGAAGTTTAAATCGTAACATTGTCATAGCTTCTGCTACAAATGGGACTCGTGTAATACCAGACCAGTAATCAGTATAGGAAGGTAAGCTACAAATTCCCATAAATATCCAGATTCCTAAAAACACTTTCAGTTCTTGAAGAGTAAGTTGAAGTTGTTCTCCTTCATTTCTTTGATTGCTATAATTGTTTGTTTCATCCACTATTACTTGCAGTATATCATCAGAGATGAAAGCATTGAAATAATCAATGGGAAATTTCAGGGGTAGACTTTCATGTGGAACTTCACCCAATATAGCCTCTGGTATGTCTGTCTGATTCCATATGAAATCAGGATCTTCTACATCATGTTGCTTTTGTGGCCTTTTTTTTGATGTAGCAGTAACAATGTCTTCAGTCTCTGAGTACTCAGATAAATCTCCATCCAAAGAGGAAACATCACTCTCTAGAGCATTCAATGAATCCTGGCAATAATGGAGAGGTAAGTTAAAAAATTGGTATGTTATATGAAATCTGATAAAATATATTCTGATTGTAAGTATAATGTAATGCAAACCTGATTCTGGATGTATGTGTTTTTCTTTTCTTTTCTTCCTTTTTTCACCTTTCTTTTTCTTAGAGCTTTCTTCTTGTGTTGTCTTGTTACACTTTCCTTTCTGTTTACTAAATTGCTTGTCTTCTTAGTAGCTATTACTTTTGCACTGGTGTTCTGCTTGGGGCTCTGTTGTGATTCGCTTTCATTACTTTGACCAGAAAATGGAGGTGCCATAGGAGTGCTATTTCCTTTTTTTTTTTTTGAGTTGGCAGGCACATCAGGAACATACTCTTCATCAGATTCAGCCATACGACTGATGCTTTCAGTATCTTCCTCTGAGCTAAATGTTTCCTGTAAGAGAAATGTAAATAATTCAGATGACATACTCAAGGAGAAATAGATGTAACAATCTAAATTATAAATAGTAAGAATTCTTAGTACCTCAACAGCTTTCTTGTTTGCAGTCGTTGATTTCCTCAAATTTAAAGTGCCTTGTTTATGCATAGTTAGAGGCTCAGCTAGACCATTGTCACTGTTCTCCTTTGATTGATTATCAGTGTTTGTCAAAGAGTGGGCTGCAAATAAATTATAAGGATTATTACAAGAAATATTTTTAAAAAACTAGATAGAGGAGTTACTAATTTGATAAAGTAAGTAAAGTACCTTCTGGAAAAAGTTTGGTCTTACTGGTTTTCTTGAGTTGGCTTGCGGGACTTGCTACTGGTGTAGAAAATGATTTTGGAGAAAATGTGTCATATAACTGAACACTATTTGGAAGTAAAGAAGAATCTACAGTAAAAATAAAAGAAAATAAGCAATGAGGAAACAATTAACTCCAAAGCATACCTTCTGTTTAAGTAAGTATAGTTAAAGACATACTATTTGCTTTTTTTGATGTACCAGATGGAAAGTACCCATGGGGTGATGAACTCTGTCTCTTCCCGCAATCATTTCTGTTCCCAAAATAGTGACAATATCCAGATGTTTTTGATCTCGGTTCACAGTTTTCTTTGTCTTTGAGTTGACTCTGAAAATAAAAATACAGAGACATTGACACTATGTGAAGACCATCCAAAATGATAATCTATTGCGGGTCCAATAACTTGATTTCATTCATAGCTTACAATATTACTAATAGAGCTAGAACAAGTTTCCTGTGGCACACTTGTTTGCTCATCAACAGTGGGGATTAAATTACCAACTTCAATCAAAGGTTCAGCTGATTTCTTAGGTGAGGGCTTATTATTGGATTCGTTAGATAAGGCTACTTCACGAATTTTGTCAGTTGCAAGGCAACTGATCCTACCAAGAGCTGCTAAAAAGGAAATAATTTTAATCTGAGCACTTAAGCAAATAGACATGAGTGGGTACTAAAAATATTGGTTAGTTCACTTTACCTGGTGAGACATCTGTTTTGTTTACTCTTGCATTGGCTGTCTTTGCCAATTTGGTCGTTTCCAACTCATTTGATTTACTAGACTTATTGGTATTTACTTTTGCTTTCAGACTAGAAAGTAATTCACTATCTAAATTCTTAACTGGACAAGAAACTACAGAAAAAAGAATAAAACAAGAAATTAGCAAAAAATTTGACCCGTGAAAATAGCGCTACATATAATATGTAGTAACAACAATTTACCAGGTAGAGTCAAGGCTGGAAAAGGACAGGTTTCTGTTGAATGACTACCATTAAATACATAAGCTGCAACAAAACCAAAAGGTGTTGAATTGAGCCACATAAAAATAAACAAGACATTGGCATGGAAATTATTGGATAATTTTATTTACCTGGTGAGGAATCTGTTGTGTTTCCACTTGGCTTGGCCTGGAGTAAAGGTTTCTTTGAAGTGACTGTTTTCTCCTCATTTAACTTGCTCAATAACTTTGAAGTTTTTGTTTTTTCCTTTGGTTTGTGACTAGACTTGACTTGGCAAGCTGGCTTGGACTTCGGTTTGGAAGCAGGAGCCTTTCGCTTTGTCAGTACAGGGGTGCTTTCTTTCTTTGACTTCTTAGATTTTGACGATGGCTCTTCAATTTGTTTCCTTTTTTGGGTAGGTTTGGGATCGGCTGGTGGCAAAGCTGTAGGCCTCTCATCAAATGGCAAGTGTACAATTGAAGATTTCTAAAAAAATGAATTAAAATTAAACATGTGAATGGTTAAAAAACATAACAAGGGAAAACCAATTGAAGTATTTTAAAAGTAGATGAAAAATACTCACTTTAGATTTTTCCTTCAGGGAAGCGAGAGGGATGTCAGAATCAGAATCATCTGAACGAGAACCAGCGAGCAGGTGTCCTTTCTTGACATTACCATCAAGAGCAGCAGTAGTATCACTAGATGACTTCAAAGCAAGAATAAATAGGTTTCAGGACAAACTAATAA